GGTGAGTCTGTGTTTATTATCTGTGCATTCAGAGCATTCGTACCATTCATCCAACCATCCATGTTCTGTACCGGTTTTTCATTTTCACATGGGGTTGGTGCCAGAGTTAGGGACACACTGCCAAGAAGACACACAAACACAAACACACACTTGAGTAGAAGCGAACAGATACGACCTAATCAGAGTGAGACTTGACAATAAAACAAGGGGTTTTAGARACAAACAGTCTTTCAGCCTCCCACTCAGGGACAGTTAAGACACACCAAAGAATCTAACATGCATGTTTTTGCTCTGAGGGAGTCGGGGGTGGAGCTAGACCTTTTGCAATGGGTGGTCAAGGTGTTTTGGGGGCTTACATACAAATAAAGTTAATTAAGCTCAATTGGAAAATTCAAGTTGACCGTCAGCTAATTTTTAATGTCTCTAAATAAGCTGTTTTAAGAGATACTGGGTCGAAAATTGGTTGGATTGTGGCAAAAAATCATTTTGAAAAACATGCTGCTGAATGCTTATCACAATTTAAGCTAAGATAAACAATTTTACAAAGAGACATTTTTAGTCAAACAAAGCTGAGCCAAAAACTATTTTTGCCTAAAATGTTAATCAAAGAAATTCAAAATGGCCACCAGCGCCTGCAGCTGTACTGCTGTACGCACTGTGCGTACCTTGAGCTTTTCCTTTGGGTTAATAAAACATGATTTTTTTTAATCATTCAACTTTTGAATGATTTTTCACTCTTTGTTATTACAAAAATGGTGGACAAAATAAAATAAGAAATTGTCTTTTTGTCAGAACTTCATCTGTGTGTCTGTGTGGGTGGGCACATGCGTCCGAAACTAATGTTAGTTTACTTTTGTTTATTTGGTGGCTGCCCTGGTGCTTTCTCCTTAACGTCACAGTGCGATGAAGCAAACTAACAAAGAGTGAGCGGACTTTTAAATGGTTAAATCTTGTGGAAACGTTTACAAAAGAGTAGAAATAAAGTGCCATCGCTTCTGGATGTAACTGACAGCACACCTGAGCCAGGAAATCTCTCCTCATATGGACAAAGCTAGCTGCTCTCTGCCTTTACATCTGCAGGTACACCTCTCCCACAGGAGCCCAGCTCAGCCAGCAGCTCTCAGCCACAGGTAATTTTAACCACCTGGTGCTGATTGATCAGTCAGGTGGTCATCTTTGAGTTTGAGCATCATGTGTTGTGAGCCGAGGGTTGCTTGTGTGATTCACTTTAACAGTGTCACTTCACATCTCGTTCCCCTTAAAAAAATACTATCTGAATATCACCTTTCACTGCCCTCACCCTCAGTCACCGTTTTGCTGCATTTTGACAAAGTTTCCATCCATATTCTTGCCCAGTTTCTATTTAACAACTGTTTTAACATAGTGGCCGTGGTGCATTGTGATTGTCTGATGCCACWCTGCCTTCCTCTCTCTCTCCTGTGTGTCTTAACTTTTGATTTTCTGGGTGAAAGTTATTGGTTGTTAGTGACAACCAAACTTTAACTTTATTGTGCTGGAAATCACCAAGTGACACACTGTTAAAAGGGAGTTTTTCCTTTCCACTGTCGCCAATGGGCTGCTCAGGATGGAAGACTGCGCTGAAGTGATTCAACGCAATCTGCTGACTTCTTTAGATTGATTTTTGTGTACAGTGGCCTGAGACTATATGAGACGATGTTCAGGACAGACCAAAAGTTTGGACACACCTTCTCATTCAAAGAGTTTTCTTTATTTTCATGACTATGAAAMTAGTAGATTCATGCTGAAGGCATCAAAATTATGARTTAACACATGTGGAATTACATATTTAACAAAAAGTGTGAAACAACTGAAAATCTGTCTTATATTCTTGGTTCTTCAAAGTAGCCACCTTTTGCTTTGATTAATGCTTCGTACACTCTTGGCATTCTCTTGATGAGCTTCAACAGGTAGTCACCTGAAATGGTTTTCACTTCACAGGTGTGCCCTGTGCCAAGTGGGATTTCTTGCCATATAAATGGRGTTGGGACCATCAGTTGTGTTGTGCAGAAGGTGGATACAGTACACAGCTGATAGTCCTACTGAATAGACTTAGAATTTGTATTATGGCAAGAAAAAAGTAGCTAAGCAAAGAAAAACAAGTGGCCATCATTTCTTTAAGAAATGACGGTCAGTCAGTCCGAAAAATTGGGAAAACTTTGTGAGTGTCCCCTAGAGCAGTTGCAAAAACTGTCACGCGCTACAAAGAAACTGGCTCACATGAGGACCGCCCCAGGAAAGGAAGACCAAGAGTCACCTCTGCTGCGGAYGATAAGTTCATCTGAGTTACCAGCCTCAGAAATGGCAGGTTAACAGCAGCTCAGATTAGAGAACAGGTCAATGCCACAGAGTTCTAGTAGCAGACACATCTCTAGAACAACTGTTAAGAGGAGACTGTGTGAATCAGGCCTTCATGGTAAAATAGCTGCTAGGAAACCACTGCTAAACACAGGCAACAAGCAGAAGAGACTTGTTTGGGCTAAAGAACACAAGGAATGGACTTAGACCAGTTGAACTGTGCTTTGGTCTGATGAGTCCAAATTTGAGATCTTTGGTTCCAACCACCGTGTTTTTGTGTGACACAGAAAAGGTGAATGGATGGACTCTACATGCCTGGTTCCAACCGTGAAGCATGGAAGAGGAGGTGTGATGTGTGGGGGGTGCTTTGCTGGTGACACTGTTGGGGATTTATTCAAAACTGAAGGCATACTGAACCAGCATGGCTACCACAGCATCTTGCAATGGCATGCTATTCCATCCGATTTGGTTTTTTTTTAAATGACCTTTTTTTAGCCACAGACTCTGGTCACTGTGCTGTTTTAATGCTGCTGGATCTGACAGCTGCCTTCGACACAGTGGATCATCAGATACTTCTGTCTCATCCAGAGAACTGGGTGGGCATTAAGGGTTCTGCTCTACAGTGGTTTAGATCCTATCTATCAGAGAGGAGCTTTTGTGTGCGTGTCGGAGCAGTTGAGTCCTCGGTAGCACCTCTCACATGTGGAGTACCTCAGGGCTCTACTTGGCCCTCTTCTTTTTTTCAATTTATTTACTCCCACTAGGATCTATTCTCCGGAAACGTGGTGTCCCATTCCATTTTTATGCTGATGACACCCAAATTTATTTTCCACTGAAACAGGAAAGTCAATAATCTGTGAACCAAATCTTGGAATGTTTGGCAGAAGTCAGAGCATGGRTGTCACTGAACTTTTTACATTTTTATGAACAAAAAACAGATGTTGTGTTGTTTAAGTCCAGTGACAGCTYTAAAGTCCAAGTTGATCTTGGTCCTTTAACACAACATCTGACCAAGACAGCAACTAACCTGGGTGTTAAACTGGACAATGATTTTAAACTAGATGTTCAGATTAAATCTGTGATCAAGTCCAGCTTTTATCACTTGAGACAACTGGCCAAGGTCAAACCATTTCTTTCTCATCATCATTTTGAAATCTTGATCCATGCTTTTATCACAACTCGCTTAGACTTCTGCAATGCACTTTATGTTGGGCTGAGCCAGTTGTTACTGACTCGACTTCAGCTGGTTCAGAATGATGCCGCTTGCCTTTTAACTGGTACAAGGAAACGAGATCACATCACTCCTGGTTTACAATCACTACATTGGCTCCCAGTTTGCTTCCGGATTACTTTTAAAGTTTTACTGTTTGCTTTTAAATGTCTTCATGGTCTTGCCCCAATGTATCTATCTGACCTGCTCCAACCTTACACTCCCTCTCATGCCCTCAGGTCAGCAGATCACTTTCTGTTGGTCGTCCCWAAATCTAAGAGGAGGCTGAGAGGTGATTGAGCATTTTCAGTTGCTGCCCCTAAACTGTGGAATGAGCTGCCTTTGCACATTAGACAGGCTGACTTACTTCCTGTTTTTAAATCAGCTCTTAAAACATTTTTTTCTCCTTGGCTTTTAACTCAGTTTGAGATGTTGGTTTTAATGTTTTTGTTTTTATGATGATAGTAGATATTTGCTCATTTAACTTAGTTTATTGTTGTACAGCACTTTGGCCAATGGGGTTGTTTTAAAATGCTTTACAAATAAAGTTGTATTGTATTGTATTGTATTGTATTGTATTGTATGCTATTCCATCCGATTTGTGTTTAGTTGGACCATCATTAATTTTTCAACAGGACAATGACCCCAAACACACCTCCAGGCTGTGTAAGGACTATTTGACCAAGAAAGAGAGTGATGGGGTGCTGTGCCAGATCACCCTCCACAGTCACCAGACCTGAACCCAATCCAAATGGTTTGGGGTGAGCTGGACCGCAAAGTGAAGGCAAAAGGACCAACAAGTGCTAATCGTCTCTGGGAACTCCTTCAAGACTGTTGAAAGACCATTTCAGGTGACTACCTCTTGAAGGTCATCAAGAG